TTTTTTTTTTTTTTTTTTTTTTTTTTTTTTTTTTTTATTAATTACAAATACTTTCCCTTAAAGTTTGTTCGTAGGATTCTTAATGCTTCCTCTTGAAAATTCCATTTTGACACTTAGTGGGTGACAAGAGTTTTCCGTTTGTTTAATTTAAAATGTGTCTTTACATCAAGGATAGCTTTTTCGTTGAATCTTAAAGACGGTTCTGCTTACTAGACTCTTTGTTTCAATATATGCCCTGGAAATGTTGGCAAAGGAAACTGTTGTCTTTGTTCTTATCGCGGTACCGCCGTGGGCTTAAGTAAGTAGTGCTTTCCATTTGAACTGGAAACAATTTTCTTCGAGGATGGTGGCTCGATAGGGTTTTTCGGGGTCAATACCTCCCAAGTTTGATGATCAACTACGTCGCCATTAGCAACGATTGGGGAACAATTACCACTACTCACAGGATTACGATCCGAATTACAATAACACCGGGGTTGTCATAGCAACGAAATGACGCCATTGCCTATTCCACTTGCATCCGTATTCCTCGCCACTGGGAACTGTTCTTCCAAAATCGTTCATGGGAGCTTTTTCCTCCAATAGCCACCTCGATGTTTGTGAAGTTTAAGCGAAATCAATGAAAGCCCTATCGAGCCACCTTAAGCTAAGCATCCTGGAGGGCTTAGAAATAGGAGGATTGTCTTCGTAGAAATTTTCGTACGCTCGGCAAACTCATTCAATACCCTTCTTGTTTTGTGGTGTACTTGAGTAAAGACTTGTGACATCAATCGAAACAAGAAATGTTCGGTTTTTTCACCTTTGCGTTGTCGCTAGTATCTTCAATGTATGACTTCTGTGATTTTGATATTGGTCAAGTTGTAGCAATATATATGCACTTGTACCAACGAAACGGAAATTCTTTCCGTTAGACCCTCTGATGAGTCAAAATTTAATTTGGATACTTCCAAAAAATACAAAATACCCTTCTTTCTGAAAACAAATATCGATAATGTCGGTCCATGTCGGTAGTCGGTTAATAATTTTGCTGTCGGTAGTCGGTAATTTTTTCTCGTTTTGTCGGTAGTCAGTAATATTTTTCGCCCTTTGTCGCTAGTCGCTTAAGCCCATTCACACCCTATATTGTACCTTTTGTTGAAATAGTAGTACTAATCTGGGAACGATTGTTACCTTGTGTCTTTGTGGCCCATAGTTTCTGAGTTATTTGGCGAAACGTTTCACGCACCTTTGTAGAGCTTTGTATGGAGACGCCATATTGGTGCACCGTTTTGGTGCACCAATATGGCCGCCGGAAATCAACAAAAACATCTAGAGTTTACTTTTTCTATAAAAGCTCTTCCTTTTCACTCGAGAACTAGCGTATGTACGCATAAACATATCTTCTAATACTTGAAGTGGTTATATTGCTGAAAATCAAGAGGAGAGACTTTTTTTCAACGAGACAGCATTCCTATTTTGGTGTCACGCACTGTGAAAACTCGGAAGTTCAAATTGCTGTATTTTCGAAACGAAACATGCTACGGAAATGGAAACTTGTACAAAGATTCACTTTTTGTTTATCTTCAACCTAGTGTAAATAAGAATTCGTAAAACCCCGCTATTTTGACTTTACAATTTGATGACGTCACAGTGAAAACCATCTATAGGCTTAGCCACAAGTTGCTCGGCAACTTTTCGGCAGCTTTTGAGATTTTGGGCACTTTTTGCGATTTTCGGCAACTTTTAAAATTATTGGCAAGTTTTGGTTTAAATTATTTTTTACTTTTTTTGCGACATTTATTAGCTATCGAAAAAAAAGGTCAGCTAAATTCAACTGGTTTATACTACTGAGTGAGTGTGTGGACTCCAGGACTGGCCCAATTACCAATGCCAGCTTGGTGTTGCGCGCCTGTCCATGAGGTAAGCGGAATCACATGATCCATTTTTCAAAATGGCGGACAACAATGTCTAGCTGGGAAGAACGTGCAGATGAAGGGGCGATCAATTCAACTATTGAATTTGAGTTCTATTAATCAATGAAGTTTTGTTAAGAAAGAAAAAAAAGAAAAAGAAAATACGAATAAAACCAACTTCAAGCGCAAAAAAATAATAACAATAATAACAATAATTATAATAATAATAATAATAATAATAACTTATGTCGGCAGCTTTTTGGTTATTCATCGGCAAAGTTGTGGCTAAGCCTACCAAGCAACGAATCTTGAACCCGGCACTGCATCTTCCGAAAAATGAATTGAGTCCTTCATTACAGTAGGTGCCAGCAGCGTACGCTTTCATTTTCGAATGTCTGCTTTTGTTTAAAAACAAACAAACAAACAAACAAAACAAACAACATACAAACAACAACAAAAAAGAACATGTATCAACAGGAAGTTATTCTTTCATTAAACATTCGGTGAATATGTGTTTGACTTTTCGTGTAAAACGGCCTCAAACTTAAGTTCCCAATATGTGCCAAAAAATCGGTTTTTGAAGTGCTACAGTTTATTTTTGAAACTGAGTTTTGAGAAACTTTGGCGCTTAATCAAATTGAGGCATGATTGGCTTGATTGACGTTATATTTCGTCTTTTTCTTCCTCGGGAAACAAGTGAGATGTTCCGCCATTTTGTACTCATTACCAAAACAACTCAACCTCGTCCTTTGTCTTTTTCCAGTTTTCACTGTTTAATAATCTGACAATTTTGCTGCACAATTGACGTCATTTTTTCACGTATCACAGACTTCTTCCAAGTTCAGCGAGGAATTGTGCGTGATATTATAGCCAATCAGAAACAGATAAATATTTTGAATTAATAAGAGTCTAATAATTATGATCTTTCTTTACACTGATCAAAGTTTATATATTGTTCTTACAGGTTAACTGTTACGGGTAACAGAAAATCAAGAAACAATAACACAAACGACGAAAATAACTTAAGATGGTTTTTTCATCATCCGAGTGTATCATCTGGTTTACCGTATTCGCCGCCGAGTTTGTTGCTATAGTAACGGTGAATCTCCTTACCATCATTCTTTTTATAAAGAACAGAAGCCTTCGCACTCGCAGCATGTACTTGGTTATAAGCTTAACCGTGGCGGACATGTTGGTTGGAGTCCTATCCGCTGGTTGCATTCAATTTGTTTTCCTACTGCAATGTGGCCTTATAAAATTGAAATTACCTGTGGAAGTTTTAATTTCATTATCGATTTCTTATTATGTTTTTCCTTTTGTCTCTCTAACAAACATTACTGTGATTTCTTTAGAGCGATCTGACGCCATTTTTCGTCCATTTAGGCATCGGCTCATCAAGAGATGGGTCTACGTAGTAGCAATTACTGTTGTCTGGGTTTTTCCTGTAATTGTTTGAGTCATTAATTGGTTCATAGAGATACTTTATTTAATTGCATATCACCTTTACATAATGGAATCCTACTGTCTTTTGTGTTTAATTGTTACCTTTGTTTCTTACACGTCCATTCTGTTCAAGTTTCGTTTCGGAACTCATCCTCAGCGCCATTTTGCAGCTGCTTTAAGACAAAGAAAACTAACTGTCACATTGTTTATAACAACTTTAGTATCTTTACTGGTGTGGTTACCATACAATATATATCTTTTTGTTTTCTGGTCAATTGATATTTTTAATTCCCTTTCTCTTCCAGAACATGTTCGTTTGCTTTTATCATTGCGTTTTTTGTATTATGCAAACTCCCTTGTAAATCCCATTTTATACACAATCAGGATGCCTGAATTTAAAAAAGCTCTGCTCTCATTGTTCAGACGTCATCAGAGAGAAAATGTTGCTATCCCGCTAAATCGTTACTAATAGAGGAATATCGCAAAAATTAGTTAGTCAACTTTCTAAGTAGCTAAGAGTTAAAGAAATAGAAGACACCTGTAATGCATACAAAAACATACAGAGAAGCACATTTAAAACCACATTAGGCTATACTGTATGTTAAGGAAGCTACGGAACAAATAAAGATTAGACGCGATGAAGAAATGCTTGAAGTGTGTTCAATTGGGAACTCTGTTTTGATGGAATGCGATGTAGGAAGATAAATGAGGCTATGTTAATACTTTGCCGGCTAGCTATTGTGGAAGTAGGAAAACCATACCGGAAAGATACCGCTCTGAACACCACACTTTTTTAACCAACATGACAGCCGCTCTCGGCCGCCTTGTAAATGTCACGTCACGCAAAAGAGGAGAAATTCAAGCGTACTATCACAAAAGGAAAAAACCCTTTGGAAGTGAAAACTTGTCTCAATATTAATGTTTAGCTGTTCCAATATTTCATGAAAGTAAAAACTCAGAAGGATCGACAATTCTCTACTTTGAATTTTTAATGACGTCATGTGAAACCAGCATTGCATGTCACAGATTATATCAGAGTCAAGTCACCTTCAATCGCAGGTAGCCCAAGCTCGAAATATGAGCATAGCGAACATCGGCATTGTTGCGTAACATTCGAAATATAAGGATTTGTATGGGAAAAAAACCTATCGTTTCTGTAACCTACGAAAATGAAAGGATTTCAATAAAAAGAACAGCTTACCTTACTTAAAATGTGTGTTACATGTACACGTACGTCTCTCCTGTGTGGTCCATGGGCCGATTTATGGCCGTTTTATGGGTGTTTATGTAAACGGCTTTCTCTCTATATAAAGGTTTAATTTACCAAGACTGAGCACTCCAGCGAAGCGGTCCGACTGATCCACCGAAGGAAAACGGCCGTAAATTCGCTCCAACTGTTCCAATCGCCTCCAAATTCGGCCTAGGTACAACACGATAGTTTTCCTTTCCATTAGTTATCTTGCTTCAAGACGCCTTTGCACCGAGAGCGAATTAGACTGCAAAACAGTCGGTTTTTTTCTCAAAATCAGTAAAGAAATCGGTAAAGCGTGGCGTGCGCGCGAGCCTCACGGGCGTGTCTCCCCAGTCTCAATCTCTGTTTTCAGCCTCATTCCAGACCTTTTGTTTGACTGCTCGCGCGTACTTGAATACGCAAAAATACGGACTGTTTTGTAGTCTAAGAGCGAATCAAAGGACGCAAATGTTTGCAACCTTTCCCGTCTGGAAAAAAAAATGTTACCCTCGACCCTCGACTTGGTACCCTCGACCCTCGACCCTCGACAAAAAGATAGACTCGTTCAAGCCGAGGTAAAGTCGCTGGCTTCAGACGAGTCTATCTTTTTGTCGAGGGTCAAGGGTCGAGGGTTCCATGTCGAGGGCGAGGGTACCAAGTCGAGGGTCGAGGGTAACATTTTTTTTTCCAAAATTTTTTTTTTTTGGAAAAGGTAATAATCGATGCAATCAATGTCATTAAAACAAATAAGAAGAATTTAAAAAACAAATGGCGCGTGAACATCTTCTAGTTGTTGGGTGGAGGGGGGAGGGGGTGGAATAGAGAAAAGCTCCGGGACATCCCAATTTGTTTTCGAAGAATTACATTTATAACAACAAAAGGGGGTGGTAGGCCTACACGACTTTCTCCTCATGCCAAAATGCTGCTTATTACAATAGAGTTGTTTTTATCTGCTGGGTAGATTATGCTCTGGAAGGTTCTGCATTTATACTGGGCAAATGTGATTTTAGCCGCATGTTTCACACTGAGAGGTCATGACGTATATCGATTGACTGTAGTTATTGTTTTCTGGTCGGCAGGATTTGCCCTCTGATGCAAGCGCAATTTCTTTGACCTTTTTTGACGCGTGAAGCTTTTTTATTACGGCTGAATAAGGGTTCCAATTTTCTCCAAAGTGCCTTCTGGATCTGAATAACTAAGCGATTTTCTTTAGTCCGTGCGTTGGTTACCCCTGCTTCGCGGCTTATATTTCAGTCACGTCTGCCTCTTCTCTGCCTTGCTTGGCTGTTCAGTGGGGTAGTTTGAATATGGATATTTCACCAATTCTTGTTTTTTAAGCCATCCCACTGTATGCGACCGAATTGTCGTGCTTTCAATGAAGTAGAAACTCGCCATGAAATTTTAAAATACAAGTCATCGATAATCACCGACACCGGAAATCGTGACCGAGGTACGTAGGTGCGTAGCTAGAGTGATAATTTAGATGGTTGTTGCTATCGCCCGAGTCGCGCCGCAATAATAAACTCCTGTAATTACCAACGTTATGTTCTGCAACTCGAAAAGTGTATCACTGCAGAAATTTGAAACACCCTGAAACACAAAAGGAACGTAAAACCAACACTTATCGGCGCAGTTGATGGCGGCACTGGGACAGTAGGAAGTCATGTGGCGAAACTAATTTTGTGCACATCTTTATCCCTAGTGTGCATTTCAAACAGAAATTAGAGGTGTCTGCCCAAAGACTTTCTTCACAACGGCTTCAGCGATAATTTCCTATTTTGCACGAAAAGGGGAGCTTTTATTCACGAACAGCGATCAGATCGAAGCAGACTGATTATGCGAACTTTCAAAAAAAGAAAAAAAGAGTGTACACTATGTGAATATTTAAAGAAAAAAAAAATTCCACAAAAGACAGACTTGGAATACACTGTCCAGTTTCTTGCATGATGTTAAAAGTAGTAAATTTACATCGGAAACCACGGAAAAATAGATCACAGAGAAAGCTTGAATTGAAATACCAGGGAAAATATCCTCAAAACAGAACCAAAAATCACGCCACAAACCCAATGCCATTTTTTCTTGCCCGACCGACCAAAAAATTGTCAAGGAATAGCCTTGTGAGACATTGTAACATTTCAAACAGTTAAACAGAATTTGCAACACAGTCGATTTTTTTTTCGGGAATAAAATACTTGTGTCCAACTTGGCAAAACAACAGATCTTTAGTAGAAATGTGGCAAATGTAAAACAATTAATTGGATCAATGGGAGACATGGACCGTACGTCTGTTTTTTTTTCCTATTCACGTCCACCACGTCCATGTTCACAAATATATATGACCAGGAGCCCATCATTTGATGGGCTCCTGATATGACCGATTGTGGCCTAGAAAGATATATTGTATTTTAATGGGAAAGCGTCGGCAAATGCCGATGTTCACCTCACCGAAAGTCGCTACCAGG